TATCACCTTGGGTACTGGATTTAGCTGCGTGCGACGCTTCACCGTTCAAAACGGCAGCATCTGCGGGCACTGTACCAGGGCCGAGAGGACTGTCATCTTTCGCAGACACAACTGCGCTCGAATGGTAACACGTACATACACTACAAGGCTTAACATATCATCTTCACAGCGCGACACGTCGGTTTGGGTCCGATCGCTCTGAAAAGTAGGCTGGGGCACTGCTTTGGCTTTGTGCTTTGCCACGGCTGCTTTCCTCATCTCCTCTAGTCAAACACAAATTCTTAAGTCAACACGGTGATCATGAAAGCCGATACAAATCTACCAAAGGCAACACAGTCAAACGTTGCCATTACCTCCGCCTCCCCGACAAAAAATCACATCACGCATGTCCTTCTTCGTCTTTCCCGGCACAAGAGACGTGTAGTCGCTTGACAAACCCGAAGGGGCTTTTGATTTCCATACTTTTCACAATAGCTCGCGCCATTGAGCTCTGATCCCGGACACCTCTGATGCAGCGGGGGAAATTCCCGAATGCTCGAGAAATCAGTGGCGCGGGAATTTGCCTGTAATCCTCCATGCTGATTTGTGTGGCACCCATCAAAATCCGTATCATTTTATTGTGCTTTGAGATGGAATGTCCATCCGTTTTGTAGCTAATGTCGAGCATGGTGGAGCATTAAATCACGCGTAAAAATGAGCTGGAAAGAGGCAGGCATCGATATGTTTTATCTGTGATCGAATTACCATTTCAAAACGGCAAAAAAACCGATTTTCAGGATATCGAAGTGAATTTGGTGGTTGATTGATCCCGGAATGTCCATCCGTTTTGTAGCTAATGTCGAGCATGGTGGAGCATTAAATCACGCGTAAAAATGAGCTGGAAAGAGGCAGGCATCGATATGTTTTATCTGTGATCGAATTACCATTTCAAAACGGCAAAAAAACCGATTTTCAGGATATCGAAGTGAATTTGGTGGTTGATTGATCCCGAGCAGTCGATTTGACTGCCGTAGCTCAATTTATCAGCCAGTCTTGCTATACCGATTTGTACTTTTTATAGACCTCGACTTAATAAAACGACCTCTATTAAATACAAATCGAGCATCAGGCTCGGACGAAAGCATTAGAATGCACAATAATCTTCTAGAAATACAAATATTAAGCCACACTCGCATTTATGTAATGACGTGCGGGAAAGATTGAAATCCGCCTACCCCTTCTTGATTTAGAATTGTGAGGGGACCTTCAAATATTAGGTTTAAAAAGCGCTCGGGGCTTAGCCCCGGAGGCTATTGAAGGGTTAACGTGTCTCAGCACGCTTAGCTTTTTGCAGAATCGTGTCTCATACAAGCTCTCGGGTTAAGGAGAATTAACCTGAACACTGCGTGGGTCTGTCTGTACGATTGATAATCAAGCTATAATAGTATCTGTTTACACGAAATGGACTAAGCTAACATTTCACTGTTAATAATATTTCGCTTTAAGCCAATCAGAATACCTGGACGCAAAATTTAAGATCTTTATTCGCAGAAAGTTAGAGCATAGCCCTGTTTATATATCGCAGTGTCCCACCCAAGTGGTTCTCTTCAGATTAAAGTGCCAATGGTGCGGAGGACGCCTTTCCGGCCTGGATTAGCCGTCGAGCGCCACGTTGCAGAAGTGTGTGCGTGTCTGGAGGAAGACGTCTATCTTTTGCCTCGTCAGATATCACGTGCTGAATCGACCGAGCAGCTGCTGCCGGTTCCGTGGATTACTGTGACTTTCCGAGCTGAGACCGTCGATACTGCACTATGCAGTGGCCTCAATGACAATACACCCACTTCAAACGCCATATCTTCTAGTTCTGTTGGTCTTTACGACGCGACCATGCGCCGAGCTTATGATAAACTGGTAGCGATACGGTTTTTGACCCTCATTGCGCGTTGCCAAGAATATTCGTGGCGTTGCAACCCTCACTTCTGGAACCACGTGTTGGACGACATCTGCCATATAGCTAATTGCAATGAGTACTTTTCATTACAGCGACTTCGACGGCGTGAGAAACGTCCAGTTTGTACATGTACACCAGTGAGAAGCGCCGGTGAGGTTCATACGATGCCGAAGTTTAAACTCAGATTCTCCAGCATGAAAGTAAAAAATCAATTATTGGAGTTGTGTGCTCAAGCCTTCTCCTCGTCACCAAACGAAACTTTCCAACGAGTCGATCAACGTGTGTATGGTATCATGTCCAAGCTCGGCATTTCTATTCCGCGACAGCCTCGAAGGGTTAAGATCGGTCTGGATTTTTCATGTAGCCGACTACGAGTGGGCGATTCGAAGGCTGAAATCCGGAATCTGCTTTTGGCAGCTTCAAATAGACACGGAACTGGGAGCTCAGCGATGGTTTTGTTCTCGATTCGGTGTTTGGATTTGAGTGAAACTACGATCGCCGAACGCGATCTGACCCCACTAGCAGAGATTGTGGCTTTACCGACCCTAACGGTCAGTGAGCTACATTTGGACTGGACGTTTACTACAAAAAGCTGTAAGCGATTTATGCGCTCATTCTGCGAGTTCGTGTCTGCGTGTTTAGCTCTTTCGAGGTCTGACGCTCCTGTGACTACGAGTCTAACGGTATTAAGCTTGAATTTCAGTACATTCAGCACTTTCCAGCTTGGTGCGCTGTTTTCAGCTATACACGAAGGGAACAGCAGATCTGGAATCCGTGAATTATCTCTGCGTGGATTTGAGGGCAGTGATTCGTGGCTGTGGCTTGCACCCTGAGTCAAAGTCTTCCATTGTAAGCTTGGATTTATCACACTGCGTACTACGACTCGAAGATGTGGAAGCTGTACGATATCTGTTGAAATTTACCGATTATTCTCTACATCTCATGCAAAAGAAGACGACTACTGAAGCGACTGAGAAGTCGTGCAGTGAACCAAGTCATTGGGCTCTTCTACCGACCGGTACTCGTTTAGAAATCCCTCGAGATACGAAGAAACACGCCAGGGGTAGACCTCCATCCGGTCTGAAGCTTGAGAAAGAATTATGGTGCGAAGTACTGGACTCTGGAGTATCGTGGACGTGTGTTTTGATCCCCGGTTATGGGGAATTGTACGTCAAGAATCTAAAGATTGTCAAAAGGGAAACCCGAGTTAGAAATACTCGCACTTGCAAGTTGAAATCTTTGACGATGATGGAAGTCAAGACGACGTCGCAAATGCTCAGAGTTAACAAGGATGGTGCGCTCACTGGATCGTTGGGACAGCAGCACAATGCTCGTGTGTTAGCCGGATGGGTGAAGGCTATCGGACAGTCGATAGAGACGCTCCGACTACCAAACAACCCGTTAAGGACCACCACGTTGGCTGTTATCCTGGAAGGATGCCCTTTGTTAAAGAGTCTGGATGCTAGCGGTTGTGAGTTGACAGATATTACGCCGATAACGAAAGCGTTTAGACAAGAGAGCTGCTTTCTGCATACTCTAAACGCAGCCCAAAACCACATCAGTGCAGCAAACCAAGAAGATTTTTTTCGACTGGTGGGAGATCCAGGCTGCCAATCGATTCGCCACCTACAGATTCTTCATCTCGAGGATAACCCGACAAGCCCTGCAAACAGGATTCTTAACGTCCTCCATTCGTCCCTTCGAAAAAACAAGACGCTCAGATGTTTGCTATTATCGATGGATAAAAAACATACGCTTTCCAAAAATCTCCGATGGCGATTTGATAGGGACCACAATGGAGTTTTGCTTGGACACGAAAATTTGCCATTCCAGCATCGTCTTGCAGTGTTAAGTGTCGCGATGGTGACGCCTTTACCCACTGCAGTCATCAAGATAATCTTTGACCTCGCCAGACGAGAAGTCTGTCGCCAAGTGTTGTGGGAGTGAAGCTGCTCCATTCGAATGGATCTTTGTTTGTCGATGCGTCTTCTATTCAAGATTGTTATGACTAAAATACTTGCAGGCTGTCCACCAGGGCACCAAAGTGCATACTTGAAGTAATTCTTTTTTAAATCCTCACGTAAAATGATACAGTATTTGAAAAAAAACAGTTGAATAGGGGCGTGGATTTTTGTTGAAGTGTCTGTTGTGTTTCATTTATGTGTTTATTGTGTTCGGATTGTGTAAACCGACCTGAACGAGCGAAAAAGCGTCCATGGTCAGACATAGGGTGGGTCGAAGAGGTTGCTGGGGTGGTTAAATAATGGGTTTCTGTAGCCCTATTCACCTATAAAAACAGTGTCTAGTCACTATTAGGAAATTGTGTTTAATACACAGGAAGAGCAAAATTTCAATAGCGTGACAGCAGACAGGACCGCGTTTCTTTTTCTTTAGGCTGAACTCTATTAGGCTCCAGGTGTTTGCGTCGGTCTGGACGACCAGAAGAAGCTGCGACGCGCTCGTGCGGCTGGACCCCATCCACAGCACGGGCGCCTTGGCATCCAGCTCCGCGAGCGGCTTGTGCTCAACGAAATCCCACACAATGATGTAGCCATCCTCGTATGCAGCTAGCAACTGCAGCGCGTTGTGTGGGTGCAGTGCCAGCGCGCGCACCGCGCTCTTGTTGTCAGCGCGAACACATTCGTGAAGGACGCGACCGCTTTGCGAGTGCAGCACGCGCACCACGTGCGCCTGACGCTGGAACACGTAGCGACCGTCGGACGAGTACACGAGCGTAGCGGCGGAGAGACCCACGCGCCCTGAGGATGGCGCGGCCTGCGGCGGCGGCGTCAGTAGCTCCAGCTCGTCCGTCATGGCTGGCAATGCTTGTCTGTTGGCTGGTGGACGACTGGAAGTGGGCTTTGACTTTTTATGGCCACCGCAGCATTCTTGCAGCGACATCGGTGGCAGCACTTTCTCACTTTGTCTTTAGAAGAGAAAAAAATAGTAAAGCTAGTAGCCTAACCATCATGGTGGAACACACCTAAAGAAAATGTGATAATGAGGCGCCTCGACGGCTCGTTTTGGAGGAAGCGATTGCAAAGCGAGCATGTAGACCCGTCTACTAGTGATGAGGAAGACACAGGAGGTTCGGCAGTTCGTAGACGGCGTGGTGGAGGATTGTTTGCTACGAGACGTGGTGGCACTGCAGAGAACGAGTATGCTCTCGAGAAGGTGTGGGCTAAGCGCTGAATTAATGAGGCTACATTCTATCTGGTGCAGTGGGAAGAATTCCATGAACTGACCTGGGAACCTGTAGCCAACATTCCGTGGCAAGCAGTTCGTGAGTTTGAGCGAGAAACTATTGATTCTATTTGGATGTACCAGTCTACGCGGGGCGACGACGCAAGCTGCGAGCTGAGAGTCCACGTAAGCGTAGTGCGCGACTCAGCGTCCACGAGTGAGTGCCGAGTATGCGTAGTACTACTATAATATCACTGAGCTACTGGATACGTCGCTTGAAAACAGCAATACAAGTATTGTTTCTTTTATGAGTAGCCGGTAAAGTTTACCGGCCGGCTACTCATAAAAGTTTACCGTAAACGGGGTGGATGGGTTATTTAATAATCCATTTTTTGCTCGTAAGGGGTGGACGGGTGGGTAAGCCTGGGGTAACCCATCCCACAAAAGCCCCATTGGGAACCCTGTCCATGGACGTCGAGCAAGTCCGCGTGAGCGGCTTTAAGCGTATCCTGGTGCGGCTGGATGAGGCCACGCGCCGCAAGTACTGCTGTCGTGCACTCGAGCAAGATCTGCAACATGTCAAGAGCCAAATGCGCTCGTGTACGGCGTCTATGGCGGAGGCTAAGCAGGTGGAGGACGCCACACGCAAACTCCACGCCAGTCAACGTGCCGCTGTATCGAGCGAGCTGTTGGATGAGTTAGAAGTGCTCCATCGTCAATTAGGAGCGTCCATAGATACGCTCATTTTAGGTCGCAAGCTACAGAACGGAGAATTAGATACGACAAAAGAGGACCTTGAAGTCAAGGAGGAGGTGGACACTGCGGAGACCTCGACATCTCAGGAGGCCAAGACGGTGGCGAGGCAGATTTTGCAAACAAAGGAGTTTGAGACCGCAGTGAGTCAAATAAAACAGCTGGAGCGACTGATGCCAATACTGAAGGACGAGGACGAGAAGAAGAAAAAGTGGTGGAAGAAACACGTGCAGAAAGCAGCGACTCATACCCTCGAGCTGGTGAGAGGAGATGGTACAACCGTCAAGCGATTGAGTCGGCTGGATAAGTCGCTCAAGAAGCTTCAAGTCAAGTGTCCTGAACTCAAAGACTGGCTCACGTACGGACTTTTGTTTACGGTCTTTTGTGTAGCACATACACTAATGTAGCGTTTCTTTTTGTTTAGGAACATGCAAAAACAATTTGCTGAGTCTGTATCAACAGCCGAGTCGGTATCAGCTACGAAGACCAAGAAGAAGCGAGCGATTGCCCTTCCTGATGACGGAGAGACCGCAATTATGAGTACTGCTGCGTCTTCGTCGAAGCCCAAGAAGACAAAATCTGCAGAGAATACCAAGGAGAAGAAGACTGAGTCCGCGGAAAAGGCTCGAGCATTGCTTCACCGCTGCTCGCGTGAGGTACGCACGTTGCGTGACAAGTTCGAACTCGGTGCGTACGACGTGAATCTGAGTCGCATGGTGACCGTGGTGGACTCGTTATGGTCGGGATTTGAGCACGCCGAGTTGGTGGCTTTGACCACTGCGTTGTTCACGCTGGTGGAGACTGTGGAGAAGGTTGTGAACCAGGCGAAGCGTCGAGACCGCCTCATGTGTCTGGAAAGCGTCCTGGGCGTTGTACTAGGCTCGACCAAGCTGCAGTTGACTGCACGACGTAAAACGATGGTAGAAGAGTATGCAAACAACTGCCGCCAGTCGTTGCAGCAGCTAGATCGGCAGGCTGACAGCACTGGGCAACCTACCAAATCTCCTGCCCAGAATGGAGTGCCATCAACTCCACGCCAGACTTTAAATGTGAACGGCAGTTCCCACGTACGTTTTGGATAGAAAAGCGTACCGTGGAAAGCAAATAATTGCAATTCAGTGCTTTGCAAAAAAGTTTTATGAATTTCAATACACTGAAACTGATACTTAGACGGAATTCGTCGGATATTCTTCAGATCGCTATTTCCATGAATTTTGATAGGTTACCTTGAGAACGTCATACAATCCGTGTTGAGTTGGGATGTCTTGCTGTCATTAACAGGGCGAGTATGTGGCCAACTCAAGACTTCTGCCGGTCTATTATTTGGTGTTGTTGTTAGACAGCTCGTAAGAGTCATGAATGTTCATTCAATATGTCACAAATGGCTCTTATAAGTCGACACAACAGTGCTCGCACATTAAAAGCTATGACAGACAACTCAATATGCACGTACGAGGCGCACTGACACTGCTCGCCGCTGAGCTCTTTAGGCCATGGAGGACGACTGCCGGAAGGCGTCCACAAGCTACTGTGATAACCAAATTGGCTACCACGATGGCTTGTGGACCCTTACATGCATAATGCTTAGCTAGTGTGGTAGAAAAGATAATGGTAGGCAAATATGAGCTTGGAAGTCGCCACAGACGGTCATACAGGCTCTGCTGCGAGCAAATGCTGCCGAAACTTTTATAACTTAGTAATATTTGGTCTAGAAAGCATAGATAGTTGCTGGCCGCACTCAACACTATCAATTATTTTTTACAAAAGACTGAGCCTCTACCATCATACTTACGATGCTTAAAAACGACAACTCTTGAGATCTTGACAAAGTCTATTATTGTTAGTACCTTCATCTTCCACCTAGAATCACCTGCACTTCAAATTGCACTTCTACAACCGCTACACAATATATTTAGTTTAACGTTGTGCTCGATTTCATGGGCCGTTTCTGAAACTTAGCTCGAATCAATGCAAAGGATAGAAATGGCCTGCATTAAATACCCGCTTGTACTGTGTAATTAAGATTAATCACTTCTCATACCAAACTCAATGAAAGCTAAAACATATTCAAATTGTAAGGCCGTGTTCGGTTTGCAGGGGCAAATCCAGCTTGTTTGAAAATAAGCTAGAGCTGTAGAACAGTCGTTTTGTTAAGTAAAATAAAGATAAAAATAAGTGATCGTGTTTCATCAGAAGAAGGCTGGATTTGAAGCCGCCAACAAAAATAAGTGATCGTGTTCCATCAGAAAAAGGCTGGATTTGAAGCCGCCAACCATTATACTCAGGTAGACAAAGCAAAAAAGACCAATCACCAGGGAAAAAGGGTAGACAGCGACCACGACGACGACGATGACCTGTGGCTCCTCCAAGCGCTTGCTAAAATGCAGGAGGCGGCAACTCAAAAGCAAATAGCACTCAAGGAACCTATACCACGGCTATTGAGCACAGAGACCCCCCAGCCACGTTTTTTCCACTCAATCTTCACCAGTCCTAATCCATTTCTGTTCCGCGATCACTTCAGAATGTATAAAAGCTCCTACGACGCGTTATTTGCTTTGTGTGAGCCATTGATCACACCCAAAACGAGATATCGACGCAAAGTATTGGCCGTGCTAAAGCAGCGCCTTTTCATCCACACGCCTCCAGGTCGCCCTCTGTTTCTCCGTCTACTGCTCCATCCGTTGGTTTTAGAACTACTGTCACTGTTTTAAGGGGCAAAGGAGAACGAATCAAAATTCAACCCATAGCTGAATTTTGAAACCAGTCGTTTGGAGCTATCCTGCCGGATGTCATTTTTTGTGTTTCTTAGCGGAATAAAGCTGGTTGAGACATTCCAGCTCTTCAGTAACAATTACAGGTGGTTTTAGCTTAGATCGAACACGGCTTAATATTTTTATGCATGTAGCGTTCACTTTGTGCTGATTCAGAATTACATGTTGAATAATGTGTACCAAGACGCCTTGCTGTTGCTGTTGTTGACGGAAGTGTTTATTATTTAATAGTTTATCGATGATTCTAGGATGGTAAAACGTCATTTAGGCTCCAAGTTTATTAACGTTTCTTTATGGGTCTACTTAGCCAGCTATAATTTACACCTCTCGTGTTTTGTTGCTGTCTTGCCGCTCCATTTAAAAACATAACCTACGCATTTGTCGGCGACACGTCCGCCCGTTAAGTGATATCGGATTTTGCTGTCTAAACAATTCTTAGAAAACAATGGCTTACTGCAGTAACACACATGAGTTCATTTTATTCAATCTAAAATTTCTATCTTTGTAGATCAAGTGACAACGTTTATTAGCAGCGTTGTTCTTACGGCCAGCTCTTACGACCAGCTTCTGTTGTACATGTAATACAATTAGGCAGCTCAGTAGTTACCTCACTCTCAGATAATTTCTTATCACCCCCCCCCAAAGCGACGGCCTGTATTAAACACGTTTTGTAGGAAGGGCTTATCCTGTATCATACACGATAAATGGTGCATGAATGATCTGCTAATTTTTCACCTTATTTTTGTATACGGTCATACAAACCTGATCCCCATCCTTCCTGGAGCGGTGTGGTGGATTGCACAATTTTTCATTAAATAAAAGTTTTGAGGAAACTCAGCGATATGTGGTTCACGCCAAATAAATATAAGAAACTGCAGGGATTTTCAACCCCACTCATTTTGGCGCTCATTTCAGAAAACTCCCGCTTCCAGTCAGATGTCGGGGTTTCGGGCCCGGTGGAAGGAACTACGGCAGGAAGGCTGGTCCTCCAAGCCTCCTACAGGCCTCTCCGATGACCACACCTATCTGCAGCCCGGTAAAAGCAAGACAGACGTGCGCAAAATTACTTCTTTTTAGGGGAGAAGGAGCTGATGCCGTATTTGGATCGACTAGACCTTGGTAAGTTGTGTATTCTAATGATGTATTGAAAACCTGAACTTAACCGTTGACGCGTGTTTAGATGAGCTTACGAGGCAAAAAGAAGATGAACGACAGACCGATGACGCCACACACGCATCCTCGATGCAAGACGATGAAGCCACTCCACCTGATGGCGCTACTACACCTCCAACAGGTATATTTTACAACGCCTGTACATTACACCGTACCTGTCTAACACTATCGTGTATTATGCAGTTAGTACAGTGCGTGAAGAGCCAGTACGACCACAGACGCACTCCAGCTCTCCAATGCAATCTCAGTCCAGTGCACCGCTAATTGCTTCTTCGCCGCATGAAGCTGACGCCGATATCGATGCTTTATTTTCGTCAAGTCCAGACACACCTGGTACGTTTACTGTGCCATCCATACAATTCGAAGGTGCTGTAGCTAACTCTTTTCAACGTTGTATTTTTCCAGTTGTGCCAACCACTTTAAGGTGCGATCGGTACGAACTGTTTGAGTCTTCAGATGAGTCAGTTGACTCTAACGACTCTCCGCAAAGCCCCACAAATGTGCAACAGTCCGCAGACGGCGATCGCGTGGACGCGGCATCGAACGCTGCGTTTTCCTGTTCGTCAAACGTGTATGTACACGATATACAATTCCTATGTATACATGATACACATACATGATAATAACAGCTATCATGCATATTTTTTAACAGACGATCCTAACATTGTAACGCCCGGCGATGACAAGTATGCCTTTGCAAGTCTTGTTTCGGACGAGGAGGGGGGAGGATTCTCTGTGTACGACGATGATGAGGAGCTGGAGTTCGCTGAGCCTGATCCCAGCATTGAAGATGAAGATGTCGTCCCACCTGAGCTTCCATTTGATGCGTCTCTACTTGAAGCAGTAGGTGGTGTTCACGAGATTGCACGTGGCAACCTCAAGGCTGATGTTTTAGCCGACATGAAGGAAAACGGGTGGTCTCCAGTACACAATCAGACGCCTTACCCATACATGGATGAACCCTACGACATGCGTCGCGATGATTGGGCAAATATTGACTATCCGAATCTCTTTGCGGTGAACATGGACCAACTGCTGCAGCGTTGAGCGCTGCTGAGACCCCAATTAGTGCATTTTTTCAGTTCGTCCCGCCATACTTACTAGAAAGAATTACGGGTGCTAGTAACGACTACTTTATGGAGAACCTGGACGCGCGAGTGGAGCGTCTACACGCCAAGCAGCTAGATAGGAAGTTGAAAAGGCCTGATTTCCATGTCTCACCTCCGGATATCATAAAGGCTAAGCTGCTGAACACGAAGGACATTTCAGGACGAGAAATTGCTATTTTCTTGGATTACTTATAAGCAATTCTACCAAAGAAGACTAAGAACGGCAAGAAGGAATCCAAGAAGCGACCTGCACACATCGTCAAGGGAACGTATGACGTAGCCACCCTCCAAAAGGTGCCATCGATCAAGGCCGTCCGTTGGTGGGATAATCAAGCGGTGTATCTGCTTGCTGCTGGAGGAAGTGCAGTACCAGACCGTATCGTGCGTAGAATCCAGTTGCTGGAGAACAGACAGAGTTGATGTGTCCACGGATCGCTAAAGACTATCAGACTTTCATCGGCGGTGTCGACGTTCACGACCAGTTGCGTCTACAACGGCAAGTGATCATATTCTGTACATAGACATTTACGTCATCGTTTTAACTTGTATTGTACGTATTATTAGGTATTCACTGCAATTGGCTCGGCGCTACAAGAAGTGCTACAATTCTCTCTTTCTGGGACTGATAGACCTGGCTATCATCAATGCTTTCAATGTGCACAATTACCATCGGGCGGCAACCGGGAAGCCAAGGGTTTCCCACGTGACTTTTCTGAAGACGCTTCATCTACAGCTCTGTCAGTTGCTACCGGAAGATTGGGTGCAGCTTCTTCGCCACCGCGGGCATCACACGATGCCAACGCGGGCACGACAAGCTCGAGCGGCGCACATGCCTGTACAGGCCGACGAGTGGCGCAAAGGAAACTCCGATAAGACGAGAAAGCGTAGGCAGTGTGCGTGCAAGGTTTGTTCAGTGCTAAAAGGCGCTGTTACGTCTCGAGGAGGGGAAACGACATTCTTCTGCGCTGAATGTAAGCTGAAACCAACATCAAGACACATGTTAGCCGCACGTGTATTCTTTTGCAACAAGGTGAAGCATGGCAGCAAAGGCGAACCTACTTCGTGCTGGGATATCTGGCATAAACACTGGCAAAATGGGACTATGATCCCTCAATCAGGACGCAAGCGCAAAATTTGAGCCCGGAAGCCCGCACGCGCTGCAAGTGACGGTGGCTCTGATGCCAGCGACTCGAAGTCGCAGTCTAGAGCTGAAATCGGAAGTTTTTTTCTCTTAGGGTTGTTCGGGATCGCGGCCACACACCAACGATGACGGCAGCTAGTGAGATCGTCGTCAGAGCACATGTTTCGGCTTCAAGAATAATTTGATTTGAATATATGTTTTTCGTACAGATCACCATGTGGAATCCTTCTCTAAATATCGACAAATATATGACCCGTCCCTCCCCGCTAGATGTGTTTTTGTACAAATGTTGTGTTGTCTTTGTTCACTCAGGACACGATATCAGCGTTATCGCGTACAGTGCAGACATGTTAGTATACCTGATACGATATCGAGAAATGAAGACCCTAGGGGTGGGG